CCAATTCGGGGTGCGACCAGAGTCACAGAACGAATTAAATTCGTAACCCGAGGTTCCACTGATATTTCAGTCTTCATCTGTGCATTTGATTTCTCTAATTTGTAAAATACTTTATCTTGCAGTTGCTGAAACTGCTCATCTGAGTGGATAATGTTTCAAACATCTGACTGATTCTGTCAAATTCTGACTCTTTAGATTCCCTAGATTCTTCTGATTTGTTTTGAATCCTCATCTTTCTTCCCTTGTTCACAAGACATTCTTTTATCTTTCCTATCTGTAAAGGATGAAAAAATGCTCTCCATACAAGTTACATTCTTCTACTTATACATTTACAGAGGAATCACAGGCTTTCCTCCTCATGTATTTAAAAAAATCATTTTGCAAAATTACAGATCTGGCAAGTATAATATTGTTTAGGGCTCTCTTTTGTGTCTTCTATAACTTATGCACCAATTATGCAATGGTCTGGTGTACTGTATTTGAGAAATAAATTATTACAAGCCACGCTTAAGTTCCAATTATAATTATTATTGTTATTTTTCCCCTATGAGAAATATATATTGTGCACAAGTTAGTGATGTCTCTAAACCCTTTGAAGTTCCTTTTTTGCTGTTTTTCCCACCTCCCCAATGATTGTAAATCCAATGGTGCCAAGATTGAAGCATCTAACCTTGGCTGGTAGGAAAAATTTGGAATGATGCTAAGTATGGCCTCATCTTAAATAGCATTAGTGCAATAGTAGTCTGGTTAAATGATAGCAAAATCTGTTTTCGGTTTTGTACAGTAGGGAGCTATTCGATGGTACGTAGGTCTATCTGGCTGTAGTGACAGTGCAGAAGATGCCCTAAAGAAGTTTGAATTGCTCTCCTAGAATCCCAGTGTCCAATATTGAGACTATTTAGGGAGATACAGAGAACAACCTGCTGTTTCTGAAGGAAACGGTTTTGCTTGCAAGGGATTTCCTCCTTTGTATGGAGGCATTGGTCTGTATAAGACTACCACTCTTTAACTTATCAGAGAGTAAGGATTTATTAGCAGTGTCATTTAATCGTTGCACACTTTTGTCAGATTTTTAAATTTTATTGCCTTGCCCTTTATCAGAGCACATGCCAGAAATGTCTTGCTTTGTCGGAGTTTCTGCATTAGTTTTAATGGATGTGGCAGGTCCGGCTGCATACTTATAAGCAAAAGCCTCAAAGTCTTTTTTCAGCAGATCTAGATAATATTTTATAGCTGACACTTGCTCAAATAGTGAAATAACTGTTTGGGCTGTAAGAAGACATTGCTGTGCCATCCACTCCGTTG